ATTTCAATCCTTTGTGTATTAATTGATGAGGCTCTAAAGGTGAAATGGAATAGTGTTAGTTGAACTGAAGTAGTCAAGCTTAACTTATTTTAGTTTAATTGTTTATGTTGTTTCCTTAATCTACTATATGTTTTGAGAACCTCGGGGATAGCTTGTTCCGACCAGCTTCTTTCCTGAAAACGATTTGACCATCGGTTGTATCTCCAGGATTTTCTCTATGCTCGTTCAGTGATTCGATTCTATTCGTCGTTACATTTTGGACTTTTTCCTGAATTTCAAGGTAAAGCTCGTCAAGGAATGTATTCAATTTGGAAAGATAATCGTGTTCATTCGAGAAATTTAATGATTTCATAAATTTATATGGTCGGCCGAAGAAGAGTTCATACGGGGTATGACCAGTCGAGGAATGGACGGCATTATTGTAAGTTATGAAGGCCTCTAAAAGTATCTCATCGTGTTCGGTCGTGAGTTTGTTTTCCTTTCTTTTAGATTGGATTAGACGGTATATCTCAGTAAGTGTGGAATGTAGCCTCTCTACTGGAGAGTTACTGCTGGTCTGCTGAAATGAAATGATATGCAGTTCTATTTGAAACTGTTTGCAGAAATCTTGAAAAATATTTGCAGCGAATTCAGAGCCCTGGTCACAAACAATCATCTTGGGTATACCATAGGTACTGATGTAATTTTTGAAGGCTCTAAGAACTGTTATACTATTCCTGGAGCTAATGGTATACCCGCAGGCAAATTTAGAACATTTATCTATAATTGTCAAGATTTGGTTGTGGTTTACGCTGTAAATGTCTAAGTGAAGTATTTCTAATGGTTTCAATGGCGTTTCTGGTACCTGAAATTTAAGTTTAGGAGGGTTCCTGTCGTACTTGAGGGTCTTACATTTCTCGCAATTGTTCAAAGTCTTAGTAATCTTGTCTTTCATATTTAGAAAATAATATTTCCTTTTAAGGTGTAGCAATGTCTCTTATATTCCTCTATGATTTGAACGCTCATGGTAGTCACGAATTAGTTTTTCCTGTTCGTCGTCCGTCGTTATGTCTTCAAGTATTTCAGTACAGCGGATTAGGCGAAATGTAGCAGAGAAATATTTAGAGTAGGTCGACTGTACTATGGGGAATATTTCGTCGTTTGTGTAAATGGCTGTTTGTCTATTGGGAGAAAAATAGTTTTTAAATATCTCTAACATGGTCTTCTCGTCAAATCGTTCTCTTCGCAAAATTCTTCTCTGTCTATTTTTAAATATTGTCTCTACAGTCATTGGGGGTTCTGTGCTATCGGTCTCTAGGATGATCTGGAGATTAAATTCGTTCAGAGATTTTTCCGAAATGGGGATACCGTCATCTAAGTTCTCGTCCGCACTGTGAATCGTGTCAGTATTGTTAAATAGTTCTTGGTCGTCCTCTTCTGGGGGACCATTTATTTTGACTCGACTAAGAGCGTCTGCATTAGTGTTGTGTTTACCCTTTTTGTAGACGATCTCATAGTCGTACTCCTCCAACTTCAGTCTCCATCTCACCAATTTGGAGTTTGGTTCCTTCAAGTTCATCACCCAAGTGAGGGGTCTATGGTCTGTATATATCTTAAATATTTTACGGCCCAGACTATTGCAAGTAATTCCTTCTCTATCGTGGAGTAATTACATTCACATTGAGAGAGAGTGCGACTTGCGAAGCAAATTGGTTTCTCACTGCCTATATTTCCCTGGGATAAGACAGCTCCTAATGTGATGTTACTCGCGTCGGTGGTGAGGATAAAAGGCTTCGTAAAATCCGGGTGCTGGAGGACAGGGTCGTTCATTAGCAGGTTTCGACAAGTATCGAATGCTTCAGTGTAACTTTGATCAACTTTAATGATCGCTCCCTTTTTAAGGCATTGCGTCAGGAGTTTAGTCAGTCTAGCTAAATCCTTTATAAATTTATGGTAATAGCCTATGAGACCTAGAAAAGCTTTAATCTGAGTACGGTTTTTTGGTATGGGAAAATTCTTTATCGCGTCAATTTTTGCCGGGTTATGTTTAATACCTTCTGAATTTATAACATGTCCCAGGAAGGATATCTCTTTTCTAAGAAATTCACATTTGTCCACCTGGATCTTAAAATTGGCATCCTTAAGTCTTTCAAATACTTGTTTTATGCCTTCCAGATGTTCTTGTAGAGATGTTGAGTATATGATGATATCATCAAGGTATACTAAGCATACTTTCCCTACAAGATCCTTCAAGATGTTGTCCATTACTCTTTGAAACGTACCCGGAGCATTTTTCAAACCAAAAGGCATTCTAGTAAACTCATAGTGGCCATTCTCCACTGTGAATGCTGTCTTCTGGATGTGTCTAGGGTCCATTTCAATTTGGTGGAAACCGCTAGCTAAATCCAAAGTGGTAAAATACATACATCTGCCGAGTTTGTCTAATATCTCCGCTATATTTGGTATCGGATATCTGTCGGAAATAGTCTTGTCGTTGACCTTCCTATAGTCTATCACTAACCTCCATTTCCTATTACCGTGAATATCTGCTTTCTTAGGAACTATCCAAACTGGGGAGCTCCAGGGTGAGTAACTATGTCGAATGATGCCTTGTTCTAACATTTTGTTCATTTGTGTCTGAATTTCTTGTTTGTGCACGTACGGATATCTATACGATTTCGTATAGATGGGGATATCGTCAGTAGTAATTATCTTGTGTCTTATTTTGCTCGTGAAGGAAAGTCGTTCGCCTTCCCGATAAATAATGTCGTTAAATTTTCTACACAGCTTCAAGAGCTTATTTCGTTCCTCACTATTGAGGTGATTAGTTCTCAAAAGGTCGTCCAGGCGTGGTGAATAAGGTGAGTCGTGTGTTTTCTCAACGTCATCCTTGTATAGTATATCGATATTATTTAGTTCAATAAAATTTATGGCGTTAAAAGGTTCCGCGGTCAATGGGGCTTCTAATAAAAATGTTTGATTCTCGTTAGAAGAATTAGTAACCTTGACAAAGCTGTTTCCGTCTTTGACGTTGTACAGTCCAGGGTTAATGAAAAGCATAGGGGTCAGTTCGACGGAATTCAAGTAAACAGTGCCATCTTCATAATCGATCGGCAATTTTATGATTGTCTTCGAGTTTGCCGGTATTTCCAAGACTTTAGTAGACCGGTTCACTCTAAGATTGATGTTGTTAACAGCATTCGTCGTTATAAGGGTTTTATTCACGAGGTCTATTTTCGCGTTGAGAAGAAGCAGCGCATCTAGACCTAAAAGGCCATCGAAGAAGTTATGAAATTTAAAAATGAGAAATTTAATAGTCCCTGTTTGGTTAAATTCCTTAAAGATTGGCAGAATTATTTGTCTGTCTATTTGATAGCTCTTAAAAACCGTAGTAATTGTTACTGGTCTGCCCTGAATTTGCTCTTTTGGCAAAACATATTCAGGATTTACAAAAGACGAAGTTGCTCCTGTATCTAAAAGAAATTTGAGAGGTTTGCCTGATGGTAGGAAAACAGTTATGTAAGGTAAGGCCGATGGATGCTTAATTGAATTTATGTAACCGGTAGGTCGTTCGAGGCTGAGATGGAAAAATTTCCAGTGTCTTCAATGTTTGTTATTTCGTTGTCATGGTATTCGGGCGATTGACGATGGCTATGGTGCGATTTGTGTGGTCCATTGAAATTCCGATTGGTATCGTTTGTAAAATTTCCCTGACGATGTGAGTTCTGGGCAACCTCGATGTTGTGAGGGTCGTTATCAACGTATCCATCCAGGTGTTGATAATTATCAGGGGTGTCATGGAAATTCATGTTTGGGTTATTGTTTAATCTCGTCTGCTGGCTTGGACCTGCTTTTATTTTCAGCATATTCCGGTTCGTATGCATAGGGTTGTATGCTCTGTATCTGGAGTTGTCCGGGCCATATTGATCCCTATTCCTATTTTGTATGCCAAAGTTCCGGTTGGACTGTGGTCGCCTGTATTCCCGTAGTTATAGTTCGGTTGCATATTGTAGTTCCGATTTGGACCTCTAACTTGCTGAAAACGATTTTCGTTCGGTCTGGGCTGAGGATGGTCTCCCGTTCTGGGAAGTCGTGGTGTTCTCTGGTATGATATATTCTGCTCCTTGATACAGCAAGCTAATGCTGCGGCCAGCGAGTTCGGTGGCATTGCCCTTACCCTCGATCCTAGTGGTTCGTTAAGACCACTAAGAAAAGAGTTCAAACACATTTCGGAATACAGTGCCTTCTTTGCGGCTATGACACCAGGATCTTTCTCGTGGCTAAGGATGTTGTTACAGAGTGAGGATTGAAGTTCAATAATTTCCCCATAGAAAGGTTCAATTCCTTTGTCATATTGTCTAACATTGTGCAGTTCCCTTATCAGGGACGTTTCAGTCCTTTTGTCGGAATAGTGGAGTATGAGGTTAGTTTTTATATCGTCCCAGATAAGTGGGGTGCCATACATATTAAGGACCTCATTGGCCTGTCCCTCAATTTTATTTCTTATGGCCCTAAGTAGAATCTGTCCGTAAGGAGTGTTGTCCGTCCCGCGTATGTATAGGAGAATTTCCTCAACGTTATTCAGAAATTCATAAAGGAGCTTCCCCAGTTAGCATTTTTTGAAATTTTTAATCGCATTCGAGTCTTTTTTGATCCGGTCGCGCGATTAAAAATGTGGAATATGCGCGCATTTTCTGATCATAAAAGACACATTTGTCGGGAGAAAAACGTGACTTCCCGGGACTCTTCTTAATAAATCACATATGAGTCTTCCTCTAGATTAGTTAAGAGTCTTTATCGACCATTTTCTGTTCGTTCTACGAGTCGTTTTCGAATCGTTTTTTAATCATTTATTGTGCTAAAACTTTTAATTTGTGAATCTTTTTCGAGTCTTTTTTTTGATCATTTATGAGTCCTTAGTGAGTCATTTATTCGTCTTTTAAGTGTCATATGTCACTCATATTTATATTCATTTACGAGTCTTTTTTAAGTCCCCTTTGTCTTAATTTATGAGTCCTATATGAGTGTTTACGATCCTTCGAATCTCGTACGTGATTTCTAAATATTGGGATGTACCGTGAAAAAAAGAATTTGTTTATATTTGTTTATAAAATAGTTTATTTAAAATAAAAATAATTCAACTTTTATAATTATAATTTGTACTAGTTCATTTTCAGGTGTATTTTAGTAAATGCCAGTGGTAAAAAATATAGTAAAAAATTAAATAAAAAAAGAAAAACCAAAAAAATAAAAAAATCAGGAACTTCAATCTGATCGTTTTCTTTTTGTAACCCGGTCTGGAGCGTGAACAAAATGTTTCTGAAGGATTGTGTTCATATCCTTGTCGTTACTTGTGTATTTTAGATGAGAAATATCTGAAATTAAATATGTACAAGTCTGTCCATTTTACTAATTCTTTATATACGTGTTAAAAACACAAACTTACTTTTGATTACAGTCACTAAATAACACTTTTCTGCACTTGGCTTTACACTGGTGCCCTTCCAGCTGTATTGGCAGGCTAAATTGTCAGAAAAAATCTTTCGAACGGCAGCCCGAAGGAATTGAGGGGGTCCTTCACCACCGGTTTTTGCAATAAATTCTTTCTGGAAATAGATTATCAAAAATTATATAAGTATTAATATATTGCAAAGTAGTGAATTAATCAATCTAAGAACCAATTTTGTATACTTACAAATTGTTTAAGTATCGTTTCATTTTGCCTCACCAATTCATCGAAGGCTTGCAAATCCTTTACCCCGTTGAACGGAAATTTGTGAGTGTCATTAACTTCGTCTAAATTCTTCAGTAAAATTTTGAATTGGCTCGACGATTTCTTCAAGTTCCTGGACATTTCCTTCATTATTCACTTCTTCAGTATTACATCTTTTTTCCAAAATTAAATTTTCAGCCTCTTTTTTTGCCAACCTTTTTATTTTAGCCTTTTTTAATTTTTTAAATTGGCTTGCTGACATTTTTTCTTTATAAAAACAATAAATAAATAAATAAACAAACAAATAGATAAACGTACACTTTTTAATATTTTTTATCACTTTTTAATATTTAACACTTTTGCTGTTGACGCTTCCACGCACTTTTTATAAATGACCAATAAGTCAACTTTTTTATAGCCACTCCAGAAACGCAACAAATGACCCGTTATGCATAGAAAAACAAGCAGCATTTAAGCACTTGTCTGTGCGAAATATGATAATAAATACATCAATATGATCACTTTTCAAACAGCTGCATGATCTTTTTAAGACTAATCATTTTTCAATCTGTACATGATCGCAATATGATAATAAATAACGGAAAAACAGTCACATTTTGCACATCCCAATGATTGATTTTTGATTACCATACATTTTTTTTTATAAAATTAAATGAACTCTTTTTACTCATTAAGGGGGATCACTTTCGAGTCGTTTTGTGATCGTACAGGTGAGTTAATCATTTTTTGATCACCAAAAGGACTCGAAGAAGATTCTGCGAAGTGATTTTTTTAAAAACAATTTTCATGTACAAGCTGGATATAATCACTTTTCAAGCAACTGCATGATCTTTTTAAGACTAATCATTTTTCAATCTGTACATGATCGCAATATGATAATAAATAACGGAAAAAATAGTCACATTTTGCACATCTCAATGATTGATTTGCGATTCCCCTACATTTTGTTGTTGTATTTTGGTTGACCTCTTTTTACTCATTAAAGAGAGTCATTTTCGAGTCGCTCGTATACGTGAGTTAATCATTTTTTGATCACCAAAAGGACTCGAAATAGACTCACCGAAGTGATTTTTTCAAAAACAATCTTCCAAATGCTAGCTGGGTCTGGTTGCCGTCGAATTTCGGCAAGTCCTTTATTGCGTCAGGTATCCTCAATGAGTTAAAAATGTCGATGTGGTAGTCGCTTGAAAGTGTGCAGGTCGTTCCGTCTGGTTCATCATGTCAGAAGTAGAGCAAGATCCTAAGTCGGAAATGGAAGAGTCGTCTTGGGTGAGACTAGTAACCGGTCTCTCGTCGAGGGTCGGACCAACCTTTTCAGGTATAGATGTTAAGCTAGCAATTTTCCTTAAATTATAGGGTATGAAACGGAGTTTCTGTTTTTCTCCTTTGTTATTTGGCATAAAAAAAATTTGCGTTCGTCAAAAAAAAAAAAAAAAGGAAACAAGAATTTACGTACGAAGATAGTCGTTAGTGATTGAAAATGTATGTCGCTGTACAGATATTCCCTCTGCACTCCTGTCAAGTAGACTAATGATTTGCAGTCAAAGTCTTTGACGGGGATGGACTTTCACTTCCAATATTACCACGCACTTTTCTTCAGATATTCGTATCGATATTCTTTCGATACGTCTTGTTCAGATATTCGTATCGATATTCTTTCGATACGTCTTGTTATTATAGATATATATGCGTTTGTGTGTACTTTCGTTGTATATTTATTTTCTCTTTTTCTTCTTGTTTTTATTTTTGTTTTTCTATATTTTATTCATTCATACATATAAATATTTTCTTTAATCATTCCATCGATATACCTTCGATGTCAGAAATCGTGCGTGTTACTCTTTTTTTTCTTTATGTAATGATATAATAATACTTCCATCAATTATTTTCTCGATATTCACTCGATGTTAACTGACTAGAAGTTATGTGTACTCAATTATTTTTTTTTTCTTCCTTTCTTTATTTAATTATTTTCTTTATAAATAAAAAAAAAAATAATATAATACAATATAATTATGTTCCGTTTATGTAATTATACAAATTTTGTCAAAAAGTCCTTGCAATGTGTCCTATGTAATGTAATATTCCTTTGTATATTCTTTTCACAAAATTCCTTTATTTTCATTAAAATATTCTTTGTTCCAATTCTTATTCTCAATCTAATAAAAACATCACAAAACACTTACATGCACCCGATCAGAAGATACGAGCTTATCCACATATCGCTAATGTTGGATGATGGTATGATGGTACGAAGGTATGATGGATGGTACGGTTGTCTGATGATGTTGTGATGATACTCTCAGGATTAGGTCCCAACGAATTAAGGGTGAAGACCCACGGTTCCGATGTCCTTGGTGGTGTTGTTTCCTTCTTGTTGGTTTGCAGGGTTACTTCCTTTGTGGAATGTTGAGTTTAGTTTTTGCAGGATAACTTCCTTTGTAAAATGATAGTTTTTATATTACGTTTCTTTTTTTAGTTTGATTTTTTTTTGGAAATAACACTTTAACAGACAGCGAAACCGTTCGCTGGACTACCGACTGCGCCAGTTAAGTTTTAACTAAACTTGGGAGGTAAAAAAAACACGGATTTTCGGTTTGAATGACATTACAAAAGTGGTTTTATTGATTTAATATTAGTTTTAAAGTTAACCAACTAAACAAAGAAAAAAAATGAAAATATACTTATGCTATAGATTTCAATGGAAATATGACCTAAGCAAAAGAAAGAAGAAATAGGTCATATTAAAAATTTAATTGTAAAATTATTGATTGACATGTGTTTTGGATTAAAGAGATTCTTAAGAATTAAAGTAAGCGATTTATTGTGTGACCTATATTTAGTTATATTGACTTATACGTATACATATAGAGTGTAAAGAGAAAATGGAAAGTCTAAATAAGCAAATTATTCTATAACTACATATCTTATTGCTAGCTCAGCGATCTGTTTGGGTGCGGAGTGGTGTGGGTGACGAAACTGTGATCTGCCCTCTTCGGTTTTGGTGGTGGTTCTATGGCAATGGCTGTTATTGTTGTTGATGGTAAAGGTGTCGTAACTCGCGTAGCAGTTTATCTCTATTGCATGTCTTGCTTTCCCTTTGAGTTTTGATTTTATTATGTCCGAAAAGAGTAGTTGGGACAGTTAGTCATATGTTTGTAAGTGTGGGTGTATTCGGTTAATAAGTGTGCTGAACGTCTGTAAGTCTCTTGGGTCGCCACAGAATTCAGGTAAATTGTTTAGATATTTCAAAGGGTTTATTGTTAGTGTGTTTTCAATCGGCATTGCCATTTTTTTTGTTTAATAGATTAGCAAATTAAAAAAAGATATTCTTTCTTATATACCAATGCGGGTTTCTCTTTTATTTTTCTGAAACAAATAATGTTTCTTTGCTCGGGTTCTTATCAAGGTTATTTTTTGTAGGAGTGTTTGCAACTTTTTGGTTTCTTGTGTTTCAGGCGTGTATAATAATTTTCCTTCAATTTCTGACAGTATGTTAATTTTTTCAGTTACATACATTTAATAATAATAAATATATACAGTATAGCTAATCAAATTCGTACTGTTGTTGAGTATAATACTGCTGTGAGTATAATACTGATCAGGATTAAAAATGTCCACTATGTTGATGTCTACAGGTATCGGGTTAGAGTTGGATTGATGAGTTGTTAATATGGATGTATCTTTTAGAGTAAATCTGTTTACCCTTTTCTTCACCTTCTTTTTTGTGTTGCTTTTCTTTAGTGAAAAAGGTTTTGTTCTTCAATCTCATGAAATTTAAATGTCACTTTCACCACAATTTTTGGAAATAGGATTATAGGATTCGCTCTTCAATCTAATGAAGTTTGAATGTCACTATTTGTTCTTCAATCTTTTGAAGTTTAAATTTTACTTGTATGTTTATAGAATTCGCTCTTTAATCTTATGAAGTTCCAATGTCACTATTTATTCTTCAATCTTTTGAAGTTTAAATTCCACTTTCACCACAATTTTTGAAAAAAAATGTTTGTATGTTTATAGGATTTGTTCTTCAATCTTATGAAGTTCGAATGTCACTATTTATTCTTCAATCTTTTGAACTCACTTTCACCACAATTTTTGGAAAAAAACTTTTTTTTGTAAGTTCATGGGATTCGTTCTTCAATCTTATGAAGTTCGAATGCCACTCTTTGTTCTTCAATCTTATGAAGTTCAAATTTCACTTTCAAAAAGGATTGAGTTTGTTTTAGAGTATTCGTTCTTCAATCTTATGAAGTTCGAATGTCTTTCACTAAAGATTTTCTTTTCAAAATAAATTTTATGTCCTTTAATCTTTTAAAGGATGTGTTGTTCTTTTTTTTTTCTACCCGTTACGAATATTGAGATATTCAATATCCTTTCTTATGTGAATCGATTTAAATGAATACACACAAGGATACACGGGTATCCTACCGACTGCACCACTTTTTTTTGAAGATTTAATTGATAGTCAACTCTATTTTATTTTCTGCTTTCTTAAATACAATTATTTTGCTTTCTGTTGCAGTTTTGTAATATAACTTAAAAATGAATGTTTACATAAAATTTCTAAAGAAATTTGTATTGTGCATTTAGCAAGGTAATGTAATTAATACAATTTAATAAGGTCATTTGTCTTGCATTTTCGATGGCGGAAATGTACGCATAAACAAAAATCACTACCGTTAATTGTGACTTCTTATTTGTTTCTTTGCTTTTGCATTATTCGGCAAAAACAATAACAATATTAACGCGTTAATTTGCATGCCGTCTAGTCAGTGCATTGTTACGCACAATGGTCAAGCCCCCCGTGGGCAAACCGGCGGCACGCCGTGCCGATAATCCATCCCGAACAAGATCTAAAGCTAAGCAGCGTCTTTTGTTTTCATCGACTAAATCATTGTCTGACCAACCATCATGTTCAAATTTCAACAGATACAGTGCATTATCTGATATGGATGACTTTTCTGACTTTTCCGAGTCGAATATCAACTTAAATTCTTCCAAGGTATTTGCAAAAACACCCCCTATAGTAGCGGATGTAAATGTATCAATGAAGGAAATTCAACTTTTGACCGGAGACGGATGTACTTACAAACGCACTTCCATCGGCACAAAAATATTTCCGCAAACGCAGGAAAAATATGATTACTGTATCAAGGTATTAATAGAAGGATTAATTGAGTTCCACACGTTTAATTCAAAATCAAACAAGCTATATACCACTTTCCTATACGGTCTCCCTAGGTTAAATGTAGATGAAATCATAAAAGATCTCATAGCATACAACCTACCTCCAGCATCTGTAACTGAAGTTCAAACAAGATTTAGTAGTGCTGATAACGCTGTGTACAAGGTTCAGTTTAATAGGAAATCCTTTAACCCCAATAATTTAAAAAATATTAAACTAATTTGTAAAATCCACGCAACTTGGAAAAAATACAAATCAAAACAATCAGAGAGACCTACAATATGCTGGAATTGTCAGATGCATGGTCATGGTGGTGACCATTGTAATAGGAAATCAAATTGTATGACTTGTGCAAAAGCACACAGAACTGATGAATGCCCTCTTACAAAAGATAATAAACGGCCCCATGTGTTCTCCTGTTTTAATTGTATAAAGGCAGGTCAACCAAGATCGGATCATGCCGCGAATGATGTTAATTGTCCTATGCGCCAAAAATATATAGAAATAAGACAAAAAGTAACCGCAAATCAGAGAAGTAGGCACACAGTTGTACGTCCCAGACAAGCACGTACCTCAGCAAATATAAATAACACTGTTTAAGTTAGAATTGAAAATTGCCAAACGATCCAGAGAGCCTACGTTCGCTTAGTACGGACCGTAGAGAGATGCATTCTTGGGCTAAAAGGTTGCCTGCAACTTCCCCTTGGAGCCTACGTTCGCTTGGCTCGGACCGTAGGGAGAAAGCCTTCCTAGTCTGAAGATTTTCCCTACAACTCTCCTTGGGGCCTACGTTCGCACAGCTCGGACCGTA